TCGGTCCTGACTGGGGTACGTACCAGAGGCAACTGATTGATATTTCTCTCTCACATCGATGTGTCTCTCCCTCCCTTCCCTCTCTCTAAAAATAAATAAGTAAAATCATAAAAAAGCCCAGAATATATAGGAAGGAAAACTGTCTTCTAGAAAAGTCGTGCTAACCCGGTCTGCTGTGGTCCATGTGCTGGTGGCACTCAGTCATGGGGAGTCAGAGTGGTTTGCCAAGACAGTGACAAGAACTCAGCGCGATGTAAATTGTACAGTTGTGATTGTTATCAACATCACAGTTCCTGGGAACCTCGCTGTTCTTTGGTTTAGAACCGTTAGTCCCGTCTGCCTTTTGATCTTGCTTCTGATGAGGAGCAGCCAATGTCGCCTCTCTTCGTTCATTTTCTGGCCACTAACTGTCTCATGCTCTGCCTGTGTCTCCACCCATGCAAGCAATGCCGACAATTACTTGTGTTTATTGAACCCAGTGCCAGGCTCTGAGCTATGTGCTCTTCGTACTCGACTTCATTTAGGCCTCAGCACAGCTCTATGGGGCCGGGGCTGCTGCTGCCCTTTCACAGATGAGGAAACAGATTCTGGACAGGTAGGTGGCCTGGTGGCTGGGATGGGTCTAGTTCTCGTGGGGAGGATTCTGCCCTTCTCGCTTGGCCTGTGACATCAGGGCTCAAGCCTCCCCGTGGAAGGGCACAGGAGGTGGCATTTGGGACCATTGGCTTAGGCCGCTGCGTTAGCTCCGTTGAATTGCGACACTTACTGATCAGGAGGAACGTGCAGGGCTGGGTGAGAGGAGAGGGGACAGGTGGGATCCGCTTTCTGGTCCTTTCTATGTCTTGAAGTATTTAGATACCTAAGGTATCAAATACTTCCGAGGTCAAGTGTAAGAATAAATGGTTCGCAGCCACCAGGGATACAATCAAAGAGAGGCCCGGTCTCTCATCCTGCTTCCAACAGGAAGAACAATGGAAAGCGGGTGGCATCCTGTTCCGCGCCGGCTAGCGCTGGAATCTGGCCTCCGAGGGCGCGCGGGGCAGTGCGGGCAAGAGGAAGCCCAGGCACCAGCAGTCTGCAGTGGGCCATTTCCCGTGAGGGACCACTTGCTTATACACCTGTTTCCTGTCCCCTCCTTTGCCAGCTGCTCTCAGGAGCTCCACCTCCCCTCCCTGCTGGCTCGGAGAGACATCCCGTGGCTCCTGCTTTGGGTCCCCTCTTGCCATACTTCCCCAGTCCCCTAGACTTTTCTGCACACCCTTGGTCACACTTTGTAATTAGGTTTGGGGTTTTTAGCATTAACCTGTCCCTCCCCGTCCCTCCCCCGTCACTGTAAGCTTCTGGAAGGCAGGGATTACCTCTCTCCCTCTGCCTCTTCCCCAGCCTGTACCCCGCACAAAGTCGGCGCTGCGAACGATCCTCTCAGAGCGTTGCTTACTCCCAGAGGGAGCCCCGTGCCCCCTCCGAGGGCCTCTGTTAAGTGGCCACCACGCAGGCTGTACTTACACCCAGACTGGGGAGTTTAAGGGGGCAGGACAGCGTGTGGAGCTGCCCCGGGAGCCAGCCGCCCTTCCTGGCAAGCAGGGGCCCCGGTCGTCAGGACGCCTCACACCGCGCAGTGTTCATGGCTTATCCACGCCCAGGTCTCGGTCCTCACCCAGCTTCCGAAGTTGGCAGGTGGGGTCCTGATGATGAAATCACACGTGGGTCAGGCCCCCTGGGAAGGGACGAGTGGGTGGGCGGGCGTGCCCTGAGGGGTCTGGGAAAGGCGATCACTCTGTTATCTTAGATGCAAAAAAAGAAAATAGACAATGATCTCACTCAGGTGGAAGCTAATTAACTGAACTAACAAGCTAAATAGAGACAGACTCAGAAGGAGAGCAGGCAAACAGCTCAGCAGGAGGGGGTGGGGGGGTGGAGGGTAATGGAGAAAATACAGTAAAAATAAATTTTAAAAAAGGCAATAGACAGGCTCACTTAAGATAAAGATTGACCTTTGTCAGGACTCTGTAGGCCTAGAGGATGTGGCTACCTGCTGCCCAGACCACAGAACACATTTCTGTTCAGACCCTGCCATGGGGTTACTCTACGTGTCCGTGTGTGTGTCAGTCCTGCCATGCGGCCTCCCCTGGGCTCGTCAGATTTGGGGTGTGGCCCCTTTTTTAATCCACACTCAGCAATGGAAAAAAAAAAAAAAAAAGAAAGAAATCTGGTCATTTGTGACAGTATGGATAGACCTAGAGGGTATTATGCTAAATGGAATAAGACAAAGAGGGAGACAAAAAAATAATAATAATCATGATTTCACTTGTATGTGGGATCTAAAAAAACAAATGAATAAAGAAACGGCCAGACTAAATAAACCACGTTTGCTCACTTTCGGGCCAGAGCCCTTTTAGTCACTTCTTCACCTCGCTCATGGCTACTGACACTTCCGGTCATGGCTGAGCGCCCCCTCCTCCTGGAAGCCTTCCTGGACCCCCAGGCTGGGTGATCCCTTCTCTGGTCCCCCAAATCCCCCTGAGCTCCCCTGTCCCACTCTGAACTGCCACTCTCTAGGGTTGGGTCTGTGTCACCCACCAGCTGGTAAGTTCCAAGGAGATAGACTTCAGGGCAGTGCAACTCACAGCTCAGCAGCGATGATTCAATTTCTTCATTTGTAAAGTGAAACTATTAATAGCATCCACTTTCCAGGGTTTGAGGAAATAAACAGAAGGCATTATATATAGCTCTTTAGTTGTCGTGTCTGATAAATATCACCTTCCGGGAACATGACTGCTTTTGTTATTAATCACTTTAATGTGTCTGCCAATAAGGCTGGTTCCTCTCCCAGAGCGCCGTCCTGGATCCCTAGGCTAGAGCAGGAGCTCCAGCTGGGCTTCCATGTCCCAGGCCTGGCGACTCTGGTTGTCACTCTGGGGATGGAGCTGAATTTCCCAGTGGACTGTGAGGTCTGGTAGGCCAGGCCAGTGGCTGCCATGGTCACTCTGGGTCCCCAGCACTGCCCAGCACAGGGACCCACACAGACCAGGCACTGTAGGAAGATGTGTTGTGTGAATGAATGAACGAACAGCTTTAGCAATTATTGGATCTCTGATGGTTATGTAACCATCAGTCCTCTTTCATACTCTAACATACAGAATTGTGTTTTCTGGAAATACTGGAATTTAGAGAAAACTTACGCAGGAAGTGGGGGGTGTGTGTGTCTCTGTGTGTGTGTGAGAGAGAGAAAGCACAATCTATTTATTTTTTATTGAATTGATCGGGGTGACATTGGTTAAGAAAATGATGCAGGTTCCATCTGTATACATAGTCTGTATATTGTATTGTGTGTTCCCCACCCAAGTCAAGTCTCCTTTCATCACCATTTATCCCCCCTTCCCCCCTCCTGCCTCCCTCCTCCCCCTTTCCCCCTGGTAGTCACCGTACCGTTGTCTGTGTCTATAAGTTTGGTTTTCTTTTCTTCATCCTGTCACCTTTCCCCCGCAGCCACCACACAACCCACCTCCCCCTCGCCCCGACCTCTGACAGCTGCCGTGGAGCAATCCTGACAGAGCTGGAGGAATACAATTTAGATGTGTTTAAAAAGGGGAAGGGTTGGTGGGAAGGTGGGAGGATGGAGGACCTGGGCAAGGAATGGCCGGCTTTTGGAGGCGGAGCCTGTTCCTCCTGGGAGGACAGAGACCTCGCCTGACTTGCTGGCACTGTGTCTCCAGCACCTGGCCCAGAGCCAGCCACGTCGAAGGTGCTCGGTGAACATTTATTGGGTGAATGAATGAACCAGGCATTGTTGAAGCAGCCCGGGCATCTTGCTGTGCCTCTGTAATTGTGAATCCCAGTATGTTCTGAGTAAGGGGTCAAGTTCTTCTGGTCCTCCTTGGGGAGGGGAGAGGAGGCGACACGTTGCTGAGGAGCAGGGGAAGCAAATAGGGGACTCGCTGCCCCAGGCAGACATCAGTCGTCGATGCAGGTACTCCTTCCACGAGAGCAGGACCTGTACCTGTCAAACAGCGTGTGCTCAACAAATGTTTGCTAATGAGAGCATTGGGCAGGCTTGAGTTGGCATCACGCAGGCTGTGTGACCTTAGGCAAGGCACTTGCCCTCTCTGAGCCTTACATTGATCCTCTGTACATGTGCACAATGACATTTACCTGACATAGGAGATGGGGGTCCAAGAGAAAAGGGGGAGAGGGTTCTGGCCTCAGGGAGGGAGCTACAGGGTAGTGGGGTGATTGGAAACCGAAAATTCGAGCCGCCTGGCTTGGAGACCAGCTCTACCATGTGCTGCCCATGTGTGGCCCTGAGCAAGTCGCTTACCCTGTCTCGGAGCTTTACCCGCTCTCTCTGTAAATTGGGGGTGGATGCTCCTTTCCCCAATGGGTGCAGTGAGGGTGATATAAGATGTAACTCAGTGAGGTGCATGAATCTGTGGGGCTGGCACGGGGACAGCCCTAACAGATGGGATTTCAACTCAGGTCGGCTACTGATACTGCGAGGCACGGTGACATGTAGGCGGCTGTCTGTTGGTCACAGAAGCGCGGACTGTTCCCCAAGTGTTAGATATTTCCACATGGGAGTTTCATCCATCCTCCCTCCCCCTTTGCCTGCCGTCAGCCAGGATTCCCCAGCAGCTCCAAAGCCAGTGGTCAATCTTATCTGCTGTGATTTCTGTGGGTGGCGACCACCTTCCCACTTTTCTGCATTTGGAAGTTCTTTTTTTTCTTTTTGAAAAGGAGCAAATATAAGCTGCATGTGTAGCAGACACATTTTGAGGTGTCCATCCAGTTTACAAGGCCCAACTGCCCCCCATTTTCTAAGCACAGGTCCCCCGCACAGGTAGAGCTGAGATCCCCGGGCTCTGATTGTACAAAACATCCCTGCCCCACCCCGGCCACAGTGGCGGGGCCCAGATTGACACTTGACCCAAGTGAGCCAATCAGATGCCTTCTCCATGGTTTCAGAAAGAAAGCAAGGGGATCTGGGCTCAGTTGGATCGTTCCCTTAAACAGTGGTGTTGTAGACGTGGAAGGTATGGGATGGTGTCTTTCTCCACGTGAATGGAGAAGCGTTGAGCAGCCATCTGTAGAAAGAGACAGAGAGGGAACTGTATGTAAATCCAGGCTCCTGGCAAAGAGCATTACAAGGGATGAGGGGTGGGAGGCACAGAGAGGCAGTGAGCTATGGCCCTGGTCCCAGCCTGCGGTGGAAAGTTGCAAAAATGGCCACAGATTCTCCTGCTCCCATGAAGAGGCGGAGCCAATTTCCCCACCCCTTGAATCTGGGCTGGCTGGCGACTTGATCTGGCCAATACAATATGGTGGAAGCGATGATGTGTCAATTCCTAAACTTGGCCCTATGGGTCATTGCCCCTTCTGCTTTCATTCTTGGAATCTTGCCTCTGTCATGTGAACAAGTGTGGTCTGCCTGCTGGGGAATGAGAGGTGATGTGGAGGAGAGGCTGGTTTTCTCAGCTGAGGCTACCCTCGTCTAGACGGGCCCCTAGGCAACCAGCCGACTGACAATGGAGCTTGAGTGAGCCCAGCAGAAACCGGAAGAATGGCCTGGAAGAGCCCATTGATAACCCACAGGATTGGAAGCTAGATCGACGGCTGTGTTTTCAAGCCATTTAGTCCGGGAAGGTGTAGTTTGCTACACAGCAAGTGCTAACTTATACACCATTGGATTCCTGAAAATCTTTCTGGATCCTAATATTAAATCTTTTTGTTTTTTACTGAACCACTTCAGTGAGTTTCTTTTGCTTGCATCCCATGACTTTTATGAAATATATGCTGCTTGTGCAGGTGGTTTCCAGGAGTTTGGTGAGTTGGGTGGATAGCACGTTGGCAGCCAGTGAGAGGAGAGAAAAGCAGTGCCTGGGACTCTCGACAGGGGGGCAACGACCCACAAACAAATGACCAGGAAACCAGGAGGGAGAAGGTCTCCCGTGGAGACCCCAGGAACTTCGTCTTGTCCCTGAACCCAGGGTTCTCTTCCCACCCCTCCTGGCATCACCTCAGGCTGACAGACAGGTGCTCACATTTCAGCTGCGTATTCATACTCTTCTTCGCCGGTCCATCCTACAATGAAAGAAAGAGAGAAATTAATCAGCACAATAATCACTGTAATATCACACACGTGGCTGACGTTTAGTGCAGGCTCACCAGCTCCAGGCACTGTTACGGCACTTTGCCTCCCACCTACCTTTGCGATCAGTATTACCATTATCCCTGTTGTGCAGATGGGGCACAGAGCATGAAAGGACTCACCCAATGCCCCACAAGCTAGTTTATGGAACAGCTGGGATGAACCTAAGTGGCCTCCTTCGGGGTCCATGGCCTCAGCTGCAAACAACAGGGATCTGTCTTGGCCCTCGGTGGGTGTGGTAGGTGTGCGTGGGGCTCCTCCCCGCCCCAGCCCACATCCTTCTCCCCTGAGGACCTTTCCAAACCATTTCAACTTGCAGGTTTCTCTTCTTTGGTTTATAAGCTACGAAGACTTGTATTGGGAACAGCGAAAAAGGACAGTGTGCGTTAGGGACTGGAACTAGGAGTGAGGCAGGGTTTTGGGTTCGAATCCTTTCTCTCTAGTTTTGTGGTCTGGGGCCAGTCACTCCTCCTTGAGCCTTCGTTTCCTCTTGGATAAAAATGAGATCTTCATCCCAAACCCACCCCTCCACCCTTGCCAAGCTCTTGTGGAAATAAAATAGGATGATGTTTACCAAGCACATAATAGACGCTCAATACCAGTAAGGTATGGTAGTATTATAAGAGCTAATGCCTCTAGGATTAAAACGTTCCCATCTCAGAGCAAAAGCCAGGTCTTACATGACCCACAAACCTCCCCTCTCTGATCTCCTGTCCTGCTTCTCTTCCCATTCCTCACGCTACTCCAGCCACGCTAGCCTCCTTGCTATTTCTTTATTGTTTTCAATCCTCACCCGAGGACATGCTGATTGATTTTAGAGAGAGAGGAAGGGGGGGGGGGGGAGAGAGAGAGAGAGAGAAACCAATGCAAGAAAGAAACATTGATTGTTGACCTCGCCATGACCCACCACGACCGGGAACCTAACCCACAACCTAGGTAGGTGCCCTGACCGGGAATCAAACTGGCGACCTTACAGTTTACAGGATGATGCTCCAACCAACAAGGCCCTTGCAGGTGAGGGCCTTGAACAGGACAGGCAAGTCCCATCTCAGGGCCTTTGTACTTGCTGGTCTCTCTGCCGGGTGTGCCCTTCCCCCACATGCCCACGGGCTTCCTTCCTCCTTTTCTTTGCTCAACGTCTTTGCCGAAAGTCACTTGCACAGGGAGGTCTATGCTGACTTGGTTAAGTTGCACCTCATCCCCACACTCCCTGGCCCCCTTCCGGCCCTCCTCCTGGTCTTAGCGCTCCTTCCTTATCGCCCGACAAGCTGCCTCCACTTCACTCAGTCATCACGTGGCTGTTTGCATCCCCACCTAGGATGAGTTCCCGAGGGCAGGGACTGTGCACTATTAACCCCCACAGTATCCCCAGCGCCTGACAGGTCGTGGGCACTCAGCAGAAATGTGTAGAAGGAATGAACATGACGCTTACCGTAGCCCAGACACTGCTTTAAGCGCTTTAGAAATATTAGCTCATTTAATCCCCACAACAGCCCTGGAAGGCAGGTATTGTTACTATCATCCCCATTTTGCAGACAGGCAAACTGAGGCACAGAAAGGGGAAGTGACTTGCCCATGGCTTCATTGCGGATAGGTAATGGAGCTGGGATTTGCATCCAGGCAGACCAGCTCCAGAACCCTCTTCTGTCTCTTTTGGGGTCGCTGGGGGAACTGACGAGGCAGATGGCCACATTGGGGGTCACTGCCATCTCTCCGAACAAGCCTAAACCTCCTTGCAAAAAGACTGTTGGTTTGGTTTCTGTCTCGCGGCTGAGCGAGCGCTGCCTCGTGGGGGCTGAGCGGAGGTCCGTGGTGTTCAGGGCTGAGGGGTGCTCAGGGCTGAGGGGCGGAAGGTACCTGTGGGCCTGCGTGATGGTGAAGCAAATGCCTGCCACCAGCGCCACCATCCCCACAGAGCCGGCCAGGATGAGAGCGATGGCGGATGCTCCGGACACAACGAGAGCGGAGTCCGGCTCGATGGGCTGATCTGTGGGATCCACGCTGACTTCTGGGGACCAAGAATGGGTGAGACCGGAGGAACCGCCCTGCCTCCACATTCCCCATCCCCACCATTCCCCGTCCCGGATGTCTCATCAGCCCGCCTCTTCCTCCCAGTCCTCTGAGCCCCTGCCCCGGCCTCCACTCTACTCTCCTGCCCTAGTCTCTCCCCACCCAACTCCCCACCATATGGGAGTCTGGGTGGTTTCTCTAAAGCTCAAAAGGGATCCTGCACCTCCTCTGCTTAGAATCTTGCCGTGACTCCCCGGGACCTGGGGAGGAAGCATCCCTCACCTTGATCTTCCAGGCTCTGCCCTCTGGCCAACCTCACCTCTCTTCACCCCTACCTTTATAATCCAGCCCCACCGGACTCTACTCAATTACCTAAGCTCACCTCTCTCTCTCCTACTTCTGGGCCTTTGTCTGTGCCCCTAGCATGCCTTTCATACCATTTTCTCTTCTTTGGCCTGGATAGTTCTTATGTGTTCTAGTACTAACTCAGATGTCCTCTCTTCCAGGAAGCCCTCCTTGATCCCCTTGCTGGATCAGGCACTCCCTTGGGTCCTACAGCCCTCAAGGCTCCCCCACTCTGGTCATTACTATTTATGGGCAGGTCTGTCCCCCGCAGGACTGGGAGTCCCGTGGAGGCAGGGCCGGGGCTGCCCTCGCGCCCAGCACCACCCAGCATGGCCGGTAACACAGTATCCTTAAACACTCCCCGAAGAGTGGCTGAATGCGTAAAGGAGGTCTTGGAAGTATTGCCATTCTCAGTGACTACATCAGGGTCACCAGGTGTGACAAGGCTTGATTTTTTTTGCTCACCCTGAATTACCTCCCAACCACACCCTGCAGCCCCCACTAGACCTCAGCTCCCCAGGACGCAGCCAAGTCAGGCCTCCCGTCGCCCTCGTCCTCTCCACGGTCTGGGTCTCTGTGCGTGCATGCTTGGCTGCCCCGCTCCTCTGCGTCCTCCCAGCCCCCTCCAAGCCACTTGTCCTCCACGAATAAAACCAGGAAAAATGCTAGTCATGATAATTGCTGCTATTTAAAGCGCCTGCTGCTAACAAGCATTCTGCCAGCTTCATACGTGCATTATTTCAGTTCCTCATAACAATCCATTATACACAAGAGGAAACAGACTTAGAGAAGGAAGGTCACCTGTCCTAAGACACCTGGCCAGGAAGGCACAGGGCCAGGAATTGAAACCAGCTTCCACTAGCTATCAAACCACTTTCCTTATCCCAACAACTGGCTGTTCTTGTTATTGCTGCCCAAGACTCCATGCACCCTCCTGCCTACGGAAATCATCATGAAATTAATGATGTCAATAATGCTAACTGTAGCAACGATCCCGGCTACTGTTTACGGGGCACCTGCTAGCGTTCAACAGTATGAGGCACTCTTATGTTTAGCTGCCCACCTAATCAACTTATCTCAGTGAATGCTCACAGCTACGCTTTCGGTGGGCCCGATTATTTTTCCAGTTTTACAGAGAGGAAACTGAGGCACAGAGATGTCAAGGTACTGGTCCAAAGTCATGCGGCCAGGACATGGGGCCAGAGTTCAAATTCCGAAGCTCATGCTGGGAGCCCCTCGTTATATTGTCCCATGCTCCTTTTCACTGGCATGCGCTGACACTCAGAGAGGCAAGAGGGCCTCCCAGAGTCACGCAGCGAGCAGTCAGCTGGAGCCGGGCCCCAGGCAGCGGTTCCGGATCCTGAGCTGAGCTTCTGTGAGAGTCCATCTCTTGGAGCTGCAGCCTCTTGTCTGTAAAAATGGGATAATGATACCCAATCTGCTAGGTGGATGGAAGAATGGGGTGACCTCTTGGTTATAAAGGGTCTCAGAGGGTTTTGCTCATAGAAGGTGGCTCAATAGAACAGGAGAGCTGGCCATCAACCCACTAGGGAGCAGGCGTCTGGGATGGGAATGGGGACTCACCTGACTGCAAGATGGTCACAGGCATGGAGGAATACTGTTGCTGGTTGTTGTAGACCACACACGTATAGGAGCCCAAGTGCTCCTTGGACAGCCGCCGGATGATGAGCCTCTCCCCGGCGCTGTGGGGCTTCCCATTGAAGGTCCAGAACACCACGGGTGTGATGCTGATCGTGTTTACACAGTGCAGGACCACTGAGTAGTTGAGTTCACTCTGGACGACGTACTTGTAGCTCTCCGGGTATGTCTGTATCCACACCTGCTTGGAGTTGGCTGTGTGAACAGGGAGTAAGGCCACAAGGGTGGAGAGCACTCAGCAAGGCCGAGCACTTCTGCTCGCATGCATGCATGCATTCATCATTCATTCACCAACAAACGTGTTCGCAGTGCCTGGTCTATGCCCTGGGCTGCTGCAGACACTGGCTATGGCTGAGCTGTTGGTGCCCCCAGCCCAGCTCCTCGCCCTGACTCCCTCCCACGGAGAATCCCAGCTTGGCCCTTTGTTTTATGTGAGGCACTGCATCTGTTGCCTGAGGGCTTTTGCTGACTGCCAGAGCCATTCCGCCTGTGGAGGTGGCAGGCCGGCATGCTGGGGAACAGGTATGCGGGGAGTGGCCCTCCACAGTGGCCCATTGGGAGGAGTATAAATACCCCAGCTGTTTCACCTTGGCTGGACCAGGGTGAGGCCGAGGAGCTGGGAGGAATGGCTGGATTCTGGATTAGTTTGAGGGCAGGACCCACAGGATTTGCTGATGGATTAGTTGTGGGTCGGGGAGAAGGAGAGCAGTCAAGGGGGCCTCCAGCATTTGGGGTTTGGGCCACTGGCCGCTGCTCGGGGGTGCTCTTCACACAGAAGGGACATTCACAACTCTCACCCTAGTTCTATTTCCATATTTTTCTTTTTCCCTTTTGCCAGCTAAAAGACTTTGAGGTTTGGTTTCTTAGGGCCAGGTGTCATGGTCAGAGGGAGCACAGCTGGGATTTGAACCTGAGGAGTGTGATGTCACAGTGAATGCTGGGAAGCTCCACACTGAGCTGATTTCCCGTTTCAGTGCAATAGAATTGAAAAGAACGTTAGCCCAACCAGAGAGCTCACAGAAGGCTTCCTGGAGGAGGTGGTGCCTGGGCTAAGCAAGCCTTGCAGGAGGAGAAAGAGCCCACCAGGTGTGGAAACAAGAATCAATGTAACAGCCTCCTAGACTGGGCTCTTACTATGAGCCAAACACCATTCTGAACACGTTAGCTCACAGTTTGTTCTACTGCGAGAGGGACCCGGGCTCGGGGGAAATAATTTAGTAGGTTTTTATCAGCATTTAATATATAAAATGAAACAACAGGAAATGACAGAATGTGTCACTCATAGCAATAATTGTTATTTTTATGACGCTTGTCTTTTAGTTCTTTGTGGTGTGTGAAGACATACATACTGGGTCATGTGTGAAATGTATCTCTTTTTTAAAAAGATTTTGTTAATTTATTTTTAGAGATGGGGGAAGGGAGGAAGAAAGAGAGGGAGAGATACAGCAATTGGTTGCCTCTCACCCACGCCCCCGACTGGGACTCAACCCACAGTCCTGACGGGGGATCGAACCAGCGGCCTTTCACTCTGTGGGATGACGCCCAACCAACTGAGCCACACTGGTCAGGGTGTGAAATGCATTTCTTAATGTGTGTCATGACTAAAAAAGTTTGAAAGGCACTGGATTTATTCGTTTAATCCTTCCAACAGCCCTATAAGGTAGAGCTTCTTGTTGTCACTCCCATTTTGGTGGGAAAACAAAGGCTTCAAGAGGCCAAGTCTCTTGATATCCACATGTTTAACATCTGCTTGCCCTGTGCCAGTCCCAGTACTAGGCATTTGACAAGCATGAACTCATTTGCTCCCTGCAACAATTCCGTGAGGTGGGTTTGACCTGCTACGGCTCTGTCTTAAAGGGGAGCACGCTAAGGCACACACCTGTGGGAAGCCCCTTTTAGAGGACGCATGGCTGCTAAGTGGTGGAGCAGGAGCTTGAACGCAGGTCATTCTGGTTTCAAAGCCCGCACAAGCACCAGGCTGAGAACGGCACAGCAGAGCTGTGGAGACAGGCCTTTAGGGGGAGAATCAACCTTCAACTCATGCAAAGCAGACGGATGGACCTCCGCAGCTCTTTCATTCCCTGGTGGAGGTAAAAATCCCTTAGTACAAAAGCGGGGTTGCAAGCTGTCAACCACACTTTTGCATGGTATCATAGAGATGTTGCTGGGCTAGAGAGGCAGCATGGAGGGAGATGAACTCCAGGGTCATACAGTCACAGAGAATTCCAGCTTGGCCCTTTGTTTTATGTGACCACAGGCTATTGATGTCACCTCTCTGAGCCCAAGATTCCTGATCTCTGCAATGGGATTGGTGCCAAGAGCACCGCTTTCTCACTTGTGAAATCCCCCAGTGTTTTGTTTCCCTTGCCCGTGGAGACATATCAGAAAAAACATTGCTACTGTTTTACTCTCTGTTTTCGACTAGGGTTTTTATGGTTTTGAGTCTGACATTTAAGTCTTTAATCGATTCTGAGTTTATTCTTGAATGTGTTGTAAGATGGTGGTCTAGTTTAATATTTTTGCATTGATCTGTCCAATTTTCCCAATACCATATATTGAATAGCCTATCTTTACCCCATTGTATATTCTTGCCTTCTTTGCCAAATATTAATTGACCATAAAGGTGTGGGTTTATTTCTGGGCTCTCTATTCTGTTCAATTGATCTATATGTCTGTGGTTAAGCCAGTACCATGCTGTTTTGATTACTATGGCCTTATAGTATAGTTTGATATCAGAAAGTGTGATTCCTCCAACTTTGTTCTTCTTTCTCAAGATTGCTGTGGCTATTCAAGGTCTTTTGTGGTTCCATATAAATTTTTGGAATGTTTGTTCCAGACCTGTAAAATACATTATTGGTATCTTGACAGAAATGGCACTGAATCTATAGATGGCTTTAGGTAGTACAAACATTCTACCTATCCATGGACATGGTATATGCTTTCACTTATTTGTAGCTTCTTCAGTTTCCTTCTTCACTGTGTTACAATTTTACAAGTACAGGTGTTTTACATCCTTGGTTAAATTTATTCCTAGGTGTTTTATTTTTTTGATACAATTGTATCAAAAATAATTTGCATTTTCTAGTTTTCCTTTCTGATAGTTCATTATGGGTGTATAAAAATGCAATTGACTTCTGGATATTTGTAAACTGCTGCTTTACTGAATTCATTGGTCAGCTCTGGTAGTTTTTTGATGGAATATTTAGGGTTCTCTATATACAGTATCACGTTGTCTGCAAATAAGTTTTACTTCTTCCTTTTTCATTTGGATGCCTTTTATTTCTCCTTGTCTGATTGCTGTGGCTAGGAATCCGGTACTATGTTGAATAAGAGTGGTGAAAGTGGTCATTCTTGTCTTGTTCCTGATCTTAAGGGAAACATTTATAGCTTCCTCCCATTGAATATGATGTTGGCTGTGGGTTAGTCATAAATGGCTTTTACTACATTGAGGTATGTTCTCTCTATTCTCACTTTGCTGAGAGTTTCTTATAAATAGATGCTGAAAGTTATCAAATGTTTTTTTCTGCATCTATCGATATAATCATATGGGTTTTTTTATCCTTCATTTTGTTAATGTGTTGTATCACATTTATTGATTTGTAGGTATTGTACAAATCTTGCATCCCTGGAATAAATCCAACTTGATCATGGTGTAGGACCTTTTTAATGTATTGCTGGGTCTGGTTTACTAGTATTTTGCTGGGGACTTTAACATCTCTATTCACCAGAACTATTGGCTTATAATTTTCTTTCTTTATAGTGTCTTTATCTGGTTTTGGAATTAGGATAATGCCGGCCTCATAAAATGAGCTGGGAGTCTTCCCTCCTCTTGAATTTTCTGGAATAGTTTGAGAAGGATAGGTGTTAGTTCTTCTTTGAATGTTTGGTAAAATTCACCTGTGAAGTCATCTGGTCCAGGACTTTTGTTTGTTGGGAGTTTTTCGATTACTGCTTCAATTTCATTATTTGTAATCTGTCTGTTCAGATTTTCTGATTCTTCCTGATTTAGTTTTGGAAGACTATGTTTCTAGAAATTTATCCATTACATCCAGATTGTCCAGTTTATTGGCCTACAGTTTTTTTGTAATATTTTCTTATAATCCTTTGTATTTCTTTGGTGTCAGTTGTTACGTCTCTTTCATTTCTGATTTGATTTATTTGGGTCCTCTCTTTTTTTTTCCTTGATGAGTCTGTTTAAATGTTGGTCCATCTTGTTTATTTTTTCAAGGAACTAGCTCTTGGTTTCATTGATCTTTTGTATTGCTTTTTTTTAAAAAAAACTCTATTGCATTTAATTCTGCTCTGATCTTTAATATTTCCTTTCTTCTACTCACTTTGGGCTGTGTTTGTTGTTCTTTTTCTAGTTCCATTAAGTGTAAAGTTAGATTGTTTATTTGAGATTTTTCTTGTTTCTTGAGGTAGGCCTGTAATGCTATGAATTTCTCTCTTAAGACTGCTTTTGCTGTGTCCCATAGATTTTGGTTGCTGTATTCTCATTTTCATTTGTTTCATTGTATCTTTTGATTTCTTCCTTGATCTCACTGTTAACATACTCATTGTTTAGTAACATGTTACCATATTTTGCCATGTATAATGTACACCCACATTTTTGGCCCAGATTTTCAGGAAAAAAAAATTTTAATGTTTTAATTCAATGATTTATTTATTTATTTATTATTTATATTTAAATACTTGGTTTTTGTATTATAAAAGAATGTTAGCATTTATTTTTGAACATATTACAGTACAAGAGATTCTATGTAAAATTTCAAAACACAAGACAATTACAAAACACAAGAGCAGATACAAAGTGTTTCAGGTACTACCCAGGTATATTGTGCATCCTTATTTTTCCCTCAGAAATTTGGGTAAAAAAGTGCACATTATAATGGCAAAATATGGTATTTAGCCTTCATGTCTTTGTGTGTTTTTCAGTTTTTTCTTGTGATTGGTTTCTATTTTCACACAGTTGTGGTCAGAGAGGATGCTTGATATGATTTCAATCCTCTTAAATTTATTGAGACTTGTTTTGTGTCCTAACATGTGGTCTATCCTAGAAAATGTTCCATGTGCACTTGAAAAGAATGTATATTCTGCTGCTTTCGGGTAATATGCTCCGAAGATACCAACTAAATCCATCTGATCTAGTGTGTCACTTAAAGCCACTGTTTCCTTGTTAATTTTTTGTCTGGGAG